GAGTCTTATTGGAATAGCATAGGTATTAGAATCTTGAATTTGGGAGTCAGAATAATACCACCAATCTCGTGAAAAAGGGCCATAATGAAGTTCTGGCACCAGGTTACCAATAGCAACAAGTTTTCCAGGAGTAAAGTGTCCTTTTGACATTTTTGAAAATGGGGAACGCGAGATTCAGAACGTATTCGTTTTTAATTATAAATCATAGCCCGCAATAGTTACACAAAATTTCTACCCATCACATGAGGATCAGCAATTAAACTAGGAAAACGGAAACCGTTGAAAGTCTGTAACAACTGAGACTAAGTTTATTTTATCTTTGGTTATGTTCATCCACGCCATGGTTAGATACACCTTGGCTTTGTTATGAAGAGATTCATTATTATTTTAGTATTGAATTTCAATGTATTAATGTTATGATTATTATGTATTATGATGCGTTATATTTACTAATAAAATAATTTAAAAATACGTTTAACAAAAAAAAAAAAAAAAAAAATAAAATCTAATAAGAATATACATTAATTGAATTTACAAATATATATTTAAAAAAAAAAAAAATGAAAAAATAAAAAATTGATTATTATTCGTATTATTCGTTACAAAGACAAGGAAAGGACACGATTGTCAAAAAAGGAAACAGTGGTGATTTTTGTGGAATGACGTTTTGCCAACCAAATTATTAACCAGGGGATAACCAAAATTTACAATTTCATCTCCAGAGAAAGTCCTTCGCTTTGCTTCGATTCGATATAAAAAAGGAATTACTTACATTTTCCTCCTTCTAAGTATCAAAACATCATATTACATAATATTACTTCATATTTTTTCTGTAGGATTATGGTAAAATTATTTATTAAGTTCCATTACGAAAAAAATAGTAACATAATATTGAATTTCGTAATAGAATGAAAAAAAAAGAATGTAAAAAAGAATATAACTAAAATAATTTGTGTAACATGGAAACACATGATATTTCTGCGCCTGATCTATTGATCTATTGTAGATTTTCATAGTTCCATTATAAACGTTTATTAAGCCAAACGGGAATTTTTTCTTTTTTCAAATACTTTTTTCGGTTCTTATCAAACCGATAACTATATTTAAATAAAATTATTAATCGGATGAATAATTTCGGCTGATCGATTTTAAGAGATAGAAAAATGGCTTTTTCTAAAACTAAAAAAATATAATTTTTCTTTTGATAAAAAATTTCTTAGACAAATTTTTTTAAATCACACATAAAAAATTTAATAATCAATAAAACTTTTTTTAAAAAAAATATTTAAATAAATAGAATTAAAAAAATTGAAAAAATTGAAAAAATAAAATGATCAGTAGATAATTTAACGAATGATCTGACCGATAGTTTTAAGAGATGAAAAATGCATGTAAATTTCCCTTTTAAAAAATTTTTTTAATAAATCATGCATAAAAAATTATTTTATTATAATAATATTTGTATATATTAAGTCAAATAAATAATGTGATGCATTCTTCCTAAAGTTTGGATTAAAAAATTTTTTTCTGGATGACCTACAGTATATGATGTTAATTAAATCTTATATGTGCTGTATCATCAGTTTTATTAAAAATACTTTCATTTAAATTATTCTTTCATAGAATCAAATATTACTACGGTAGGACCCTGAAATATATATAAAATGGTCAGGTTTGAGTTTGCGTATTTTTGAACTAAAAAAATCATGAAAATCTCTCCTTTTTTAGATAATTTTTGATAATGCCAGTCAAAATTTAATTTCCTATTATAGTAACCGACTGACATTATCATAATTCCGGCCCTGAAAAAATGCGTACAGCTCATAGTAAAAAAATTTTTTGACCCCTATATATATATTTCTGGGTCCTACGGTAGTATATCCGTTGTTCACTTGTTCTACTGTAATTATTAATAAAAGTTTTTAATTACGAAAGAAGTTTTTTTTTAAAAAAAATTTTTTTTTTGTTTTTTGCATCTTTCAAACTTTCAGTTAAAATGCAATTTTACATGTTAAAGAAGATTCAACTCTAATATCTGAATAGAAACAAATCACGATCAAACCTAAACATATTTATAATTTGTATTATGAAATGGTTCTTTTTTCACCGTAATATAAAATCATTTGTCAAAATTTCTTGTCTTCAAAACTAAATCATTAAATTTTGATCTGCCACGAATGCCACGTCACTCAAAATAAATATAAATACGATTAATCAGTAAAAGTTTATTTTTCTTTTATTTTTCTTTTTTTTTTAAAAAAAAAAAAAGGTTATAATAATGGATGATGATAAATTTTTACCAAAGTTATCACAAAATTTACTTGAAATTTTAGATGATGATGAATTTTATGACATTACAATTGAAGTTGGTATTGACCCTTACGTAAAAATATTCCGCGCACATATGAATATATTAAATTATCGATCTCCTTATTTACGAAAAATTATATCAACTAATAAAAAAAAAAGTGACGGAACTTTAGCACATATTAAATTACAAAGTATTTTACCTGAAATTTTTCAGATAATATTAAGGTAAGAATTTTAATAAATTTAATTAATTTTACAAATTTATTATTTTAATTTTTTACTTATTTTTTTTTTTTAAAAAAAAAATATTATTCTTTTTTTATTTTTATTTTAGATATATTTATGGAGGAAGGGTATCTTTTGAAGGACATGATGAAGCAGATGTTATCAAAACTTTAGTTGCAGCTAGCGAACTTGATCTTCAAGAATTAGTTAATCATTTACAATCTTTTTTGATTGAAAAGCACTCAACTTGGATGGAACAAAATTTTAATATGATATATCAAACAAGTTTTGAAAATGATTCTTTATTGGAACTTCAAAATTATTGTAATGATCTTATATCAAAGAATCCAGATAAAATATTCAATTCACTTAATTTTTCTTCAATTCCGGAAAAAATTTTAATCTCACTTATTCAAAATGATAACCTTAAAATGAATGAAGTTCAAGTTTGGAAATATGTTCTTAAATGGGGACTCGATCAAAATCCGGGACTTCCTTCTGATCATAAAAGTTTTTCTGGAGATGATTTTAGTGTATTAAAAAATACCTTACAACAATATATTTCTTTAATTAAGTTTGATAATTTTAGTTCAAAAGAATTTTTAGATCATGTATTTCCTTATAGAGAAATTCTACCTGAGAAATTATTTATAGATTTGTTAATACTTTTTTTGGATTACGATAATAAGCCAACTGATCAATCCGAACCAGCTCAGACATTTGAAAAGATTGAAACTCAGTCGACAAGTACAAGTAATATTCCAAATATTGAACCACAGATATTTGAGTCAACCAATATTACAAATATTAATTCAAAAATTATTACATTAGAACATGCTAGATTAATCTCAGGATGGATTAATAGATCAAATGTTAATACTTCATATGAATTTAAGTTAATTTTTCGTGGTTCTATTAATGGATTTGCAGGTAAAATTTTTCGTAAAGACTGCGATAATCAAGCTCGCACCGTAGCTATTATTAAAGTGAAGGATAGTGACGAAATTCTTGGAGGGTATAATCCAGTCGAATGGAATACTGATAATAAATATGTCACTACCAACGATAGTTTTATATTTTCTTTTGATAAAAATCAAGGTATCGAGAATCATATTTTGAGTCGTGTACTGGATAAAAATTTTGCCATATCTAATCATGATAATCGCGGTCCATCATTTGGAGATGGTGATCTTATTTTGCGCGGAGGTTTGGGTTTAAATAATTGTTTGTGTAAAAAGGCTTCCTATGAAAAACCGATCAGAGAAAGTTGTGACAAATTTTCTGTAGAAGAATATGAATTATTTCAAATTGTATAAATTGTACAATAATTTAATTTTTAATTCCATGCAATGTATGCTTATTCGCTTGTAGCGCTCGGGAAATCTTAAAATGCAAAAATAAAAAAAGTTCCTGCATATATTTTATTGCAATGAAATTTAAAGAATAAGAATTTTTTTCCTTCAAGTGAAATTCTATAAATTCATTCTTTAAAGAAGCTCTTATAGTAAGATGCGGTAGATGATTTTTCAGAAGTCCATCTTGAAAGATTTTGAATGAATATTTTATCAAGGAATAAAAGGATTTTATTAAATGCGATGATCAACTTTTATATTCTTCTTTCGATAAGAATAAAAGTATCGATAATCATATTTTGAGTCGTGTAGGGAATACAAATTTTGACATATCTAATCGTCCATCATTTAGGGAGAGTGATCTTATTTTGTATATCTTTGATAATTGTTATTTATTGAAATTACTTCTATATAATAAACCGATCAGAAATAATAGTAATAAATTTTCTGTAGAAGAATACGAAATATTTCAAATTACGAAGAAACATTTTTAATCATTTTCTCATCGTTTACATTGTGAAATAAGGCGGGTTTCTGATTTCTGAATATGAACGGATTCTTTTAATTAAACGTATAATTATACTTTATGTTGATTTAAATTAAGAATTATAATTATCATTAAAAATGCTCTTAGATTTATTGAATAATGTCTAATTTGTTGTTAATATTTGTGTGAAGAATTCTTGTAAATTAAAAAAAAATTCGTGAAAGTTACCTACTTGTGCTTGTATGTTTGTATGTTCAACTTGACATACACATCTGTCTAAGTTTTGATCATTTATCTCCGATTTTAAGGCTAAAAAAAAAATTGTTTTTTTTTTCACTGATCCAAGACGGCACTGTCGTATTAAAAATCGGGGTGAAATTTCGGTCATTTAGACCTTACCTTTTTAATGCACCTGAAATAATTAGACAAATGATTGCAAAATTTTATTTATATTTCGTAAATAACATGTCATATGTAAATTAAAAAATACCTAAGAAAAAAGATAAACTAATAAAATTGCATGCTCACTATTGTAAAAAAGGAGTTTACATTGTACGCACTTCAGATGTGACCTTACTTTGCGTTTTTTGCATGGTTGGTAAGTGTTATGCAGTAAATTATAAGAAATTAAGCAAAAAAGTTGAGTTTACATTGTAATCATCATATTTCGCTATAGTGCTGGTTTTAAACGGATTACACGTATAATACACGCTTTTATCAGTTTGACCATTATTACAAAATAATAAACTTAAACTGTAGATTTTTTATAAATTCTACAATCTATAATCTATAATACTTTATATATATAATACTTTATACTTTTTTGAACTTTATATTTTTTTGAAATTAATAAACTAATTATAAGTACAACTGAAAATTAATTCATCTTACCACAAATTTTTGAAACATAACCAAAATACTATTATTGTTTCATTAGCTCATTAATATTACTTACTTTTTGCATAATGCAAAAGAATTATTTGATTCAACTGAATTAAAAAAAGGTATGTGTTTTTATATTTATTTTGCAAAGGTAGGTATCTCCCTAATACCCATCATGATAAATTACTGGTCTTACTCACCTGGTAACCACTCCAGGCTCTACCTTTTTTACTACTAAATAAAAAATTTAGCATACCATTAACAATCTGCTTTCATATAATAGGTAATAAAAAGATTTGCAAATATATTGGCAAGAAGTTATTAAAGAATATGAAAAAAGTCAGAAAATTACTACTGCTACATCTCTTTCAAAAGCTAATTAAACTTTCTAAAATAATCAAAAGTAAATACTTTTATTCCGTCACTTATAGTACTACCAATAAGGATCTAGATAATATTAAAACTTTTTACAAAAGCCAAATGCATTTGTAAGATCATAAGTGATTAGTGTTGCTACCTGAAACTCATCTAACGATAAAATTAAAAATTTGAAACTCAAAAACTTTATTTTTAATGAAAAAATTTGTAAATCCGAAACTTTCCTAAATTATAATTAAGTTTCAGAAAAGCATAAAAACAGTTTAGGCAATTAAGTTTTATTATAAAAATTAGTTCAGGTTGAATTTTGACTAAACTAAAATTTTGAAAAATAGTTTTGGTAAGCATCCTTATAAGTGATTATGGAAATTATTTTAAAACTTAATTGAGGTAAAATGGAAGAAGAAAACTATCCTATTCTGCTTTTATTATTATTGTTGAAATTTCTTATTAAGAATAGCAGTCAGTTGCCATTTTATCTTTAAATCTTTATTATATTAGTTATACTTGCAAATTTAAATAAATCAAATTATTTATATAATGATTTTATTTACTTTCAGGAATGTTATTCATCAAGGAATGAAAGTACGATTTATTATAAGTCTCCTTGTATAGGTGCCGTCGAAATTCCCTAATTACGGCATTTCGGCATTACGGCATATGTCGTAAATAATGCCGTAACCGTAATAAAATGCCGTAATTGATTATAATCACGTGACTTGAATAATACCAAATGATCGGCAAAAATATCTCCTTTTTTAGAAACTTGTGTAACCTTTCGTAACCCATTTCTTTGATTTATTGGGGACAAAATTTCCTTTTTTGGAAATTGGTGTAACGTCATGTGATATAACGCGATAAAAAAGTTGACCGGGCATTACGAACGGCTGAAATTAAGTTTAGTCTTATTTATTTACGGCATATTACACTACGGCATTACGGCGTCAAGTTAAATTACGGCATTACGGCATTATGGCAATTACGGTTTACGGTTTTTAATTACGGTGATTACGGCACGTGCCGTAACCGTAATAATAATTTCAGCGGCAACTATATCTCCTTGAGCAAAAGGAAATAAATTTTAAGATACAATTTTTAATTAAGGAAATTGGTATATTAACTGAAATTTTAACCTTATTATGTATTATTTGAAGTTGATATATTATACACCAAAAGATTTTACCTTCTGGTGATATCCTACTGATAATGGACAATTAAATATAGTAGAAGTAGAAGTAATTAAAGGATTTTAACTGAAGATTGTTTAGATTGATAGTCTGATAGCTAATTAAATATAAAAGTTTGATATTTATAAATTTCCCTATAATTGATCCTTAGTGTACTTGTAATAATTTATTATTATCTAAATTTTACTTTATATAGTAGTCATAACAAATAACAATGCGCAAATGGTATACAATATATATAGGTAAATAATTCCAAATATATATTATACAAATGGATATACAGTAAACAAAATTTTAATTTAGCCTACTGAAAATTGGTTTGAAATTTCTAATATTACTAATATTAACAACTAAGTAAATAATTGGATTGAAAATAAAGTAGTATATTTTAAAAATATTTTCAAAAAAAAAATATTTTATAAACTAATCTAATTATGATACAACTAAAATGTAATTATTGTATAATACTAGATACTTATTATTTACTATATCTTTATTCTGAAAGTATTAAACCTTGCAATTTTTTATATAAATACTTAAATTATATTATATGTATAATTAGATATTACTTCATCAACAGGTTTCCATAAAATACAATGAAAACCAATTACTAAAATGACAAATCCTTTTAATTTATTAGGATTTGATTTAACTATTTTGACACGTTCATCAAATATTCCTGAACTAGAATAATCAACAACTCTTCCCTTTGAAATTGTATTCATATATGATTCCAGTTGACTTATACCACTGTTTAATACTTCACCTATAGTTGTCTGGTTTGTTCTTTTATATTCTTTAGACCAATATGCATATGGTCTTTTTAGTAAATCTTCTTCATTTTCCTTTTCAAGGATTTTATCTAAGTTTTCTAACTCATTTGCACCATATTTAACTTTCTGATTTTTTATTAAACCAACTAATGGAATATATTTTAATTCTAAGCTAATATAGTAAATATCACCTATTCCTTTCAAAACAAAAATATCTGAATAACCAAAGCGACCTGATCCCTTTAACTTTTTACCATCCATTACTAATGAAAGCTCTGGAATACGATATTTTAATAAGATTCACTTGATCACCGTGAAGTTTGAAAACCCTAAAAATATTATAATAATAAATTTGTAATATTACAAAGTAATATTACAAACAAAGGGAAGTCAAAGCGATTGTAATTAATTTTATTAAATTAAAAATTTAACTTGTCGAAATGTTTAAAAAAATTCTGTTGAGTCTTTAATGGTAAAAGACTTTCAATAATTGCCTGAAGTATAGATTCATTTGCTAAAGATAAAGACATTCTTGATCTAGTTAATAGAAATGTCTTTAAAATTTCAATAAAAGGTATAAAATTATTACCTATAACAAGACTTTCATATGCTGAAGCAATAAGGAGCGCATTATTAATAACCTGTCTATATATTAAATTATTTTTATTATGTTCTAAAATTTGACATTGTTTCTTCCAGGATCTATCAGTATCATCAGTATCATCAGTATCAGTATCTCTTACTCTTTTCAGTTCTCTTGTTTGTCTATCATAAAGAATAATTTTTTCATTCCATTTTTCATTAAAAATAGATTCTAATATTTTACCTGAACAATATTCTTTACTTTTAATATCATTATATGTATAACAATTACAAAATATTAAATGAATATCTTTTTCAAATTCTTTTAAACTTGTATATTGATTATTTTCTAATTTTGAATTTATAGTAAATAGGTCCATTGGATATTCTATAACCTTATTTTTAACATCCTTTTCAGTATATTTATAAAATAAATTAGCATAAGATTCATTTTCAAGTTCATGAAAATTTAGATAAATCTAGTTGTGAAGTTTCAGAAAGATTTTTAACAGAACTTTTACCTGTTTTTTTTGAAAGTAAAGATATATCTGATTGTAAAGTTTTAGTTTCAAGTTCATGAAAATTTAGATAAATCTAGTTGTGAAGTTTCAGAAAGGTTACCTGTTTTTTTTGAAAGTAAAGATATATCTGATTGTAAAGTTTTAGAATGTGATTTAACAGTGGTAAAAAGATTTTTCTTTTGATTGTAAAGTTTCAGAAAATTTAATTGGCTTTTTTGGAAGAGGTGTAACAGTAGTAATCATATTTTCTTTTTCATATTCCTTAATAATTTTCTGACTTTCTTCATATTCTTTGATAACTTCTTGCCAATATATTTGCAAATCTTTTTTACGTTGATACTCTTCAATTACCTATTATAAGAAAGCAAATTGTTAATGTATGCTAAATTTTTATTTAGTAGTAAAGAAGGTACATAGCCAGTTCCTCCTCCAGAATTAGCAGACTTTACTAACAACAAAGTAGGGCGCCTGGAATGAGAGCCCGGAGTGGTTACCAGGCGAACGAGACCAGTAATTCTCAAAAAGTGACCACCATGGATATTAGAGAGTTACCCAACTTTGCAAAATAAAAATAAAACATACCTTTTTCTTTAATTCAGTAAAAGTATTTGAATCAAATAACTTTTTTGCATTATGCAAAAAGCGATTAATCCAAACTTTTCTAATGGAAAATTAGTTAATTGAGACAATGAAGCAATAATAGTATTTCAGTTAAGTTTCAAAAATCCATGGTAAGAAATTTTTCTTGGTTCATTTAAATAAAAAACAAGTTCTTCAAATCCAATATAATCAAATCCAATATAATTCTAATTCTAAAAAAAATATAAAGTATTTCTAATTCTAAAAAAAATATAAAGTATTATAAGTATTATATTATATATACTGTAGGTTATATAGATAAGATTGTAGATTGTAGAATTTGTTAATATTTACAAAAGCAAAAAGCAAAGAATTTATGAAAAGCAAAAATTGGAAGAAAAATTAGACATCTTAAATATGCAAAAAAATGATATGACTTGAACTGATAAATTATTTGTCAATTTGACTTATTCTTATAAAAAATGACAAACTAAAAAATCAGCTTATTATTTTTTGTAATAATGGATTAAAATGATAAAAGCTGATTCATTTTGTAATATTTATATTGTTATGTTTCATTGTAATACTTATTTTTTTTTTTAGTCATACAGTATCATTAGTTAATTATCCAAATATGGCTTACATTAAATATGATTAATAATAAATGAATCATATGACTCATAAATCATTAAATTTACATATAATGATTCATATGTTCTCATTAATCTTACTCATTATTACGACTTAGGTATATAATAGATGTAGTAACTTCTACAAATAAATTACCATTATATAAAGATAAACAATTTATGCATACTATGTCAAATCTAAAACTAATTTAAAATTAACACGGTTTTCAAAATAATCTTTTTTTCAAACATTTTTATGCAACATTTTTGGAATGCGCGTAAAGACAATATTTTGAGAATACCAATTATCTTTTTTTTTTTTTCTGTTTATTCCTAAACCTTTTGCTAATATCATTTCTTTTGGGCATTTAGTACTTATTGTTATTAAAAATTTTTTTTTCGATTAGGCCCAAACTTTGACAAATGATATCTCGATTCAAAACCAATTATTTACGGTGACCGTTCACGTACTACTATTCCTTTTTTTTATAAAAAATAAATGATAGTAAAATTATAATGTAATAAATGTATGATAAATTTCATCCCAAATTTATTTAATATTTTGGATAACAATTAAAATTGATAATAGTTCTTGCGTAAAAATACGTTGACTAATGAACAAATTAACATTTTCTTTGAAATGACATGAGTTTTTATTCTATGTATCATTTGAACATATGATATTTATTTCGCCATAATATTCGTATAACAAATAAAATAATACAAATAAATTTAAAATTTCATATATTCAAATATTATTTATATCAATATCAAATTCCTTTGTAACATATTCTATATTTTAAGTTTAAAAAATTTGAATTATTATTTGGAAAATAGTGGAAAGCAACATAACATATTTACTTACCGTTATTTTGAGGTTCATTTAAATTTTTATTAATGTCTAACTCTATTTCTTTTGCAAAATATTCTAATGAAGCATAAAAATCTAATTAAATTTATGAATTAACTAAAATATAAATAAGTGAGAGGTCGTCATTTACCAGAATTTTCATTTCCGAATAATTTTCTCCTGGTCTAGATAATTAATTATTTTCAAAAAAAAAAATAATTGTAAATGAAAAAAACTATTTTACTGTAGTAATTATAAAAATTTAAATTCGAATAAAATAGTTGAGTACAATAAAAGATGTGGTTCAACTTTTTATCGGCAAATTATACACAAAGTTTAATTTTCGTACCATTATCATTACCGTCTTCAATTGAATTGTTAAACTTCCTTTTATCTTTAAATAAATTATATTAATGATAGCACAAATAAAATATCAAATAATAATTAATTAATTAAATACCAATAAATGCTGCATTGTTTTTCTGATAATAATAAAATGGATCTAAGTAATTGTTTCAAAAGTAAATAAAAAAAATATTTTCTTACAACAAAATGTATGTAGTTAGCGCCATAAAATTGTTTACCAATCGATTGACTCCTTGAATTCCTTAAAGACATTGCAGAATTAATCATTCTACTTAAAGGTCTACTTTTATAAATTGCACCTGTATTATTTGTTATTACAGGTCCAATGTCTGATGATTCTATAATTTTAGTTTGAATTAGATTAATTTCATTAGCCCATATTTTATCGACTCCATAGAATATGTCTAAAGCTGTTGGTCTTTTATTTGGATCAGAATGCCAGCAACTTTTCATTAATTCAATATATCCTTCAGGTGCATTTGTAACAATTGGCGGCCGTAAACCATCACATATTTTGATTATAAGTTCTATATCATGATTTTCATTCCAAAAAGGTCTTCTGCCTGTCATAAACTCCCGCATAATCATCCCAAAACTATATATATCTAAAGCCTTAGTATATTTTTGTCCTTGAAAAATCTCTGGTGCCATATAAGGAATAATACCATATTTCTCATTATTATTATTTGTACATTCAGTTGCAGATTTACTTATTCCTAGATCACCTATATATGAAAGGTTGCCATCAAAAAAGATATTTCCACTATGTAAATCTCTGTGGGTAATTCCAGTGCCATGTATAAGACAAAATCCATTTGTTATATTCCATAATCCATATAATTTCGTTTCCCAACTAATATTATAGAAGTCATTATTCAAATAATGCATCAAATCTCCTAAAGCATAATATTCCATAATAAACACAATATCTTTAGTATTAGGTTCTTGAGTAATTCCAAAATATTCACTAAGGTGGCCTATATATAGGTTTTTAGTTGAAGAAGCAATCTGATAAAGTATCTTGAGCTAAAAAAAAATCATTGCCTTTCAATCATTACATTAAAGATATAAAAATATTGCGTGTACATGTACATTACCTCATTCAGTTCCTTGGATGTAATGTTTTTAGAATTGTTAAGCTTTTTGAGGACAACGGTATAATTATTGTTACGAGTAATATTCCAATCATTATGTTTAATCTCATCCCAATTATTAATCGGGCCATTAACCCAAATGGCTTTATAAATTTTACTAAATCCTCCTTCGGCAATAAATTCTATATTTTTAAATTGATCATAAGGAATAAACTCCATTTTACCACCTTCTATAATGGCATAATTACTTTGAGTATATCTGATAAAATCGTCAATAACTTGGTTTCCACTTTGTTTAGGCTTAAGCATTGTCTTTATTGTAACACACGTGACAAATCTCGTGACTTTTATCAAAAATTTTTCTTTTTCTATTACATTCATTACATTTCTTATATCTGTTTTGTGAGTTTCGTGTTGGTTGAGTTGAAGGCGTGTTGTCCGATATTAAAAAGTCAATTTTATGTTTATAATTTACTGGTTGTTCCATTGTTTCAATTCATTTAAAATAAAAATTTCATTCGTTTGTAACGTTAAGAAAACTTTCTAGTATATATATTTGTGGTAGAATTTAACACGGAATTCTTTTTACAAATTTCCATGAAAAATTCTATACATTCATTCCTCGCAGGTAAATAATCTAGAAGCTCATTTTGGAAGATTTTTGAATAAAATTTGACAAGAACCCCATCAAAGAATAAAAGAACCCCATCAAAGAATAAAAGAATTCTATCAAGGAATGATCAACTAGAAATTCACGTGGTAGGTTATGGCAAGCCGAGTTGGACTAAACTATCCGGGTGAAAAATCAAGCATGGATTGACAAAATGTTACACCGTGCCTGATGTTCATCTGTCCGTGCTTCAACTGCGATATTCATCTGTCATGTGCTGATATTTTATCTATCCGTCATGCTTGATATTTATCTATCACATGCTTGATGTTTTATCTGTCCGTGCTTGATATTTTAGCTGTTCGTGCTTGATGTCTTATCTGTTCATGCCTGATGTTTTACAGACGGACCAAATATCAAGCATAAACACATAAATGAACATCAAGCATGAACAGGTAAAATGTCTCTAACTCGGCTTGCCATAGTAGGTATAACAATAATATGACGCAGTTGCATTAATTTAGGTGTTTGTGTAGAAATAATATTTTTTATATTTATTTAAAATGAACCATTTGTCGGATAAGGTATTTATAACATATGATTTCCCATATCTATAGTCTATTTATTTTTTATAAAGCACATGTGATTCTCTTATCTAGCTACTGTATTTACTGATTATTACATATTTTACTATCAAAACATTTTATTATTAATAATTAATAATTAGGCATCGTTATTTTTTATTTAATTTTACAACAAATAATTGTATTTGAGAATAAATAAAGTACTCAAAGTATTTACAATTTGGATATAAAACTAATGACTAAACAAAATAAGCTCATAAATTAATTTAGTTTAACATGTTAACTATTAGCAAGCGCCTAAATTGATAAATTGATGATGTATGATATGGTTATTAAAAAACTGTAAAATATATATTTAGCACAAAATTTAAAAATTTAATTTGGAAACTTATAAATTTATTACGACGAGAACTATTTTTTTGTGTATTATACGAAAACTTTTCGTGTCCGTAAGGTTACTATTACACTGTTTTTTAGATGTGTGTTTTTAATATTTATGTTATAGGTACTGTAAATTTATGCAAATTGATTTTCATAACTCAATCCTCATGAATTATTTAGCTGAAAATAATGCAAACTGGACGAAAAATTTTTTAATATCGATAAATCAAACAAGTTTCGAAATATCTTTCTTGGAAATGAAAAAAAAAATATTGTACTGATTTAATATGAGTAAAACATTAAAATCACAATCTTGTTTATTCAAAATTATTATCCCAAATATTTAAAATTCAACCTTGACGAGAAAATTTTAAATGGAAATTCGCTCAACATCCCTGATCCTATTATAAGCTTTTTAAAAGATGATTTCAATTATTAAAAAAAATGCATGACAACAATATGTTCCTTTTATTGATAACTTTTAAAGAATTTTCTGAATGGTATTACTTTGCAAAACAATTTTATCGAATGAATCGTGCGAAAATGTTTATGATAATTATATTACAAAAATTATGAATAAAAATACCGAACGAATTTCAAAATGGGATGATAAATTAGTTGCTACGGACAAGTTAACATTTTCATATGATTCAAATAAATGAAATAATGCTTCGTGTGTTGACGCCTAGCAAATTTCACGTAATTTGTATTTAATCAGCATTCTATTTATAACAACTATGAAATTGTTAATAAATTAATGCAGGATATAATCCAGCTCTGACTTAATGTTATTATCAATGATAGTAGAATATTACGTTTATATAAATAATGTGCAATCTTCATTACGGTCCATCATTTAAAAAACAAATCAATTTCCAAATTCCAACCAAAGTAGTACAACTTTCCATAAAATGGTAGATGGATTCAAATTCGATTAATTAATTATTTACTTCATGTAGTATGATCAGCAACTCCAGAGCCGAAAAAATTCCATAATGGCCGGCATTAGATTAAGGATTGGCCTAAATATATAAATCCGCAATATCGATCATTTTCGGGTGTTACCGTCAATCTTAATATCCCGTGCGGCCGTATTATTACGTTTTCACGCCGCACAAACTAAATATAAATATGATTGACAAAATTAAAAATTAATTAAAATTTATTTTATTCTTTTTTTTTTTTTTTTAAAAAAAAAAAAAAGAACCAGTTATAATGGATGATGATAAATTTTTACCAAAATTATCACAAAATTTACTTGAAATTTTAGATGATGGAGAATTTTATGATATTACAATTGAAGTTGGTAGTGACCCTTACGTAAAAATATTCCGTGCACATATGAATATATTAAATTATCGTTCTTCTCATTTACGAAATATTTTATCAACTAATAAAAATAAAAGTGATGATGGAACTTTAACACATATTAAATTACCAAATATTTTACCTGAAATTTTTCAAATAGTATTAAGGTAAGAATTTTAATTAATTAAAAAATTTATTTATTTTAATTTTTTTTTAAATTTTTCTTTTATTTATTTATTTATTTATTTAATATTAATTTTTTTATTATTATTCTAGATATATTTATGGAGGGAGATTATCTTTTGAAGGGTATGATGTAGCAGATATCATCAAAACTTTAGTTGCCGCTAGCGAACTTGATCTTCAAGAATTAGTTAATCATTTACAATCTTTTTTGATCAATAAGCACGCAACTTGGGTGGAAAAAAATTTTAACATTATTTATCAAACAAGTTTTGAAAATGATTCTTTGTTGGGTCTTCAAAATTATTGTAATGATCTTATATCCAAGAATCCAGATAAAATATTTAATTCACTTAATTTTTCTTCAATTCCAGAAAAAGTTTTAATCTTACTTATTCAAAATGATAACCTTAAAATGAGTGAAGTTCAAGTTTGGAAATATGTTCTTAAATGGGGACTCGATCAAAATCCGGGATTACCTTCTGAACCTGAAAGTTTTTCTGTAGATGATTTTAGTATATTAAAAAATACCTTACAACAATGTATCCCTTTAATTAAGTTTGATAATTTTAGTTCAAAAGAATTTTTAGAAAATGTATTTCCTTATAGAGAAATTCTACCTGAGAAATTATTTATAGAATTGTTAAAACTTTTTTTGGATCATGATCGTAAACCAGTTGATCAACCAGAACCAGAGGAGACTAAAGAACCGGAGGAGACTAAAGAGATTAAACCTAAAGCTAAAACACATGAAAAGATTCAAACTGAGTCGATAAATGCTGGAAATATTCCGACCATTAACCCAACTATTCCGATCGTTAACCCAACTACCCGACGGATGTCTAATGAAACCAGGCCAAAAAATACTAACAGGATTGATTCAAGAATTATCACATTAGAACATGCTAAATTAATCTCAGAATGGATTAATAGATTGAATGTTATTGCTTCATATGAATTCAGATTAATTTTCCGTGGATCTATTAATGGATTTACTGATAGGGACTTCCGTGCAGTCTGTGAAAATCAATCTCGTACTGTAACTGTTATTAAAGTAGAGGATAGTAGCGAAATTCTTGGAGGATATAATCCGATTGAATGGAAATTTGGTAGTAGCTATGACACCACCTTCGATAGTTTTATATTCTCTTTTGATAAAAATAAAAGTATCGAGAATCATGTTTTGAGTCGTGTATGGAAAAGAAAATTTGCCATATCTAATCACACTCAACGCGGCCCATCATTTGGAGAGAGTGATCTTATTTTGCGTGGAGGTTATGGTTTTAATAATAGTTTTTGTAAGCAATCATCCTATGATAAACCGATCAGAACAAGTATTGATAAATTTTCTGTAGAAGAATATGAAGTATTTCAAATTATATAATAGTACATGACAAAGTTTCACAACAAGTTATTTTTGCCTTTTATTGTTTAAAAAATCTTTCCAGTAATTTTATCTGTCTATTATAAGTTTTTAATCAAATTATAACTTTATAGTGATATACACCTTAATAGCTCTATTTTCATTTACAAGATTTACGAAATATTATCTTTTTCACACAATATAGCCGTTTTTTTTTTCTTTTCAAAAAAATATTCACGTTTAAATAATAATAGGAGGTAATATCATTGTGTGCGTTTTCAATAAAGTGTTCTATTAAAGCTATCATGAATTTGTCTATTCTATTGAATTTTAAATACTTTGAGATTTTTTAAGAAAATTCCCGGTCTGGTGGAGTTTGATGCCTAAAAAAAATCTGTCAATGTATTGTAATTTGCTTTTATTTTTTTTCATTAGGTATGAAATTTTGCCAAAATCACGATATACATTTTTACCGAAATTATCATAAATTTTAAAAGGCGACGAATGTTATGATGTTAACAATTGAAGTTGGCTGTTGGCAAAGATTTTGCTAGTTAAACTATTGGTTCGTCTAATTGACCTTTTTTTGAAATTTTATCCTTCTTATTTAATTTTTAAATATAAGTTCAACATAAAAAGAACTAGCTGAGCCTTGGACAATTTATAAGTTCTAAAGGCGGTTAAAAATAATCGTACCGACTATCGAAAAATTTTGACGGAATTTGAAAATACCTATTTTTTGGATAAATTAAGTTGTTTAAACCAAAGAAGATAAAGCTTTTCATAATTTAATCATATTCTTTTGTATCTCCCCACATTTGCATGCGTGTAGTTGTATTTTTTTATTTTTTATTTTTTATTTTTTTTTTTATTTGGACGATTTATAAAGGCCCTTTAAGTTTATTCAACTTGCCGATGTATATTTAAGCCTATAAGTAAAGAGTATTTACCATAGAAAAAAAATATCAGCTTAAAAGAATATCATATTACTTTAATGCATAGTGGCTAAATAAATATACATCTATTAATTGTCGAAGAAAATATAATTAAAAATCATGAACCTTCTATAAGCATTATAATCCTTATGCCTTACCTGAACTGATTATCATACTATACATTCGTACTAGTTAACTGTTAAGTAAAATAAACTAATTTAAATTAGAATAAAATCGTGTGATTTTATACGTTAACTTATTTTAATAATATTAGCAGACATATTAACTTTCTTTACATTTCTTCCCCAATTTTTTTCATAATAATTGTTACAATTTTTAAAATTGAGTTCCTTTAATAATATATTTTTCTAGAGATTTAGACTAATAAATAAATGTTTCATTTTATTTATTTATTTATTTATTTTTTACCTACATAACCAATCAAAATTTTCGTTTATTTATGTTTTATAATTTGAAATAATTCATATTCTTCTATAGCAAATTCACAAGTAAGTTTGAATACATGATTACTTGGATGATTATGAAAATTTGATTTAGGTTTACAATTTTGACATAAATCATAATCTGGGCAAGTTGTACACTTCCATCTCATTCCATGGATAATATCATCACAGCAATCACATAATAATTCAAGATAAGAGGGTTCTGCAAGATTTATAAAGAGTCTATAAATAATTTATAGAAAGTAAAATTATCTAATAATAAGGAAACTTCATACCTGAAGAGGTCGTATCATTTCTTCTGATTTGTCTTTCATAACTATCTTTTTTACAATAACAACCATCATACCGCAAAATAAGGTCTGTGCCACCAAATGAAGGACCATAAGTATGATGATTAAATATGGCAGACTTTTTATTTTTAACCCGACTTAAAATATGTTTATTAATATCATCACCACTATCAAACGAGAATATAAAACTATCTTTAGTAACGCCGTAACTATATTTAGATTTCCACTCGATTGGATTATATCCTCCAAGAATTTCGTTACTATTCTTCACTTTAACAACTGTTACAGTGCAAGATTGATTATCACAGGTTTCATGAAATTTATCAATAGAAAACTCTTCACGAGATCCACGAAAAATTAATTTGAATTCATATGAAGAAGTTAACTCATCTGTAATATCTAATTTATCAATCCATTTTGAGATTAATTCAGCATGTTGAAATTTAATAATTTTTGAATCGATTAAGTTATCAATTAACTTGCTATCGGGATGTAAATTTAAAATTTTTTTCAATAAATCTTTGTATAATTCTTTTGGTAAAACTTTCTTATATGGTAATACTTCACCAGAAAATTCTCTAGGAGTTAAATAATTAAACTTAATAAAAGGAATAATTTGTTGTAAAGTATTCTTCAATACGTTAAAATCTTCTTTTGAAAAGGTTGCAGGATCAATAGGAAGTTCAGGATTCTGAGCAAGTCCCCATTTAATCACATATTTCCAAACTTGAATTCCACTCATTTGAAGGTTAGTATTTTGAATAATTGAAATTAAAAGTTTTTCTGAAATCGAAGAAAAACTAATTGATTTAAGTACTTTATCTGGTCCTTTAGAAATTAAGTCAGTACAATATTTTTGTAGTTCCAAGAAATTAATATTTTCAAAACTTGTTTGATATATCAAATTAAAATTTTGTTCCATCCAATGAGTTTTATTTTTTATCAAAAAGGATTGTAAATAAACAACTAATTCTTGAAGATTAAGTTCACTAGCAGCAACCAAGATCTTAATAATATCTAAAGATCACATTTCTCCAAAGAAAGCCTTCCTCCATAAATATACCTAAAATAAAAAATATTTATACGAAAATAAAATATATGTAAAATTGTGTAAAACGACAAAATTATTTACTTTATCACCTACCTTAAAATATTTGAAAACTTTCTGGTAAAATATTTGGTAATTTAATATGTACCAAAGTATCATCATTCTTCTTTTTATTTGTTGACAAAATTCTTTGTAAATAAGTAGAACGGTAATTTAGGATGACCATATGAGCACGAAATATTTTAACATAAGGGTCATTACCAACTTCTATTGTAATATCATCATATTCTTCATCGTTCAAAATTTTGAGTAAATTTTGTGATAAATTTGGTAAGAATTTAATATCTTCCATTATGACTTTTTTTTTTTAAAAAAAAAAAAATATATAAATAAAAAAAATAATTATCTGTTATATATCGTTTTTTTCAGCTGCTGTTACACGAGTAATTGTACACAAACAGATCAGCATACATGCGAAATTAGCATTCCCTTTTTACATGATTCTGGCCAGAATAAGTATAATTTAAGCCAAAATTCATAATTCTGGCCAGGGGTGATTCTTTTCGATTGAAATTCTGAATTTTTTTAATTCAAGCTTTCTATTCTTCTAAAAGTTCTTTCGCCAAAATTTTTTTTAAAGATTTCCTAACAAAGCTTTGTATTAGAAACATTATATTTAAATTTACAAGTTTTTACGTATTTTGTGAACAGAATAATATGTTTATGATTTCATTCAATGTTTCATAAACTTTAATTTAGTTCTATCACAGTATCATTATTCTCACTTCACAAGCAATAAAGAGTTCGATTAATATCTTATTTAATTAAACTATCTCAAATGATTCAGTAACTTCTGGGAAGTCGTCTCGTTTAAGTAAATCATGAAGAATAATTTTTTTTTTTTAAAGGAGAATTGTTTGATGATAGATTTTGATCTTAACAAATTCAATTCATGATTCTATTTCTCTTCAACTTGAAATCATCTGCATCATTAGAATTAAATAAAAATCAAAATGAAGTTTTGAAATCATTTTATTATTATAAAGTTTCTTTAAATAGTTTAATTTTTTATTGTATTGAATTTAAATCTTATAAATTAAATATGAAATAATAATTTTCATTCAAATAATAAAAAAAAAATGATAGAAATTAAAGAAACTTTATAATAATATTCGATCACGTATTCAACGTTTAATTGATCACATGTAGTGATTAATCAATAACTCAAGCGAATATAAATGATCAATCGTTATCGCCATGCGTGTTAAACTATATTTCTTTCTTCATGTCGATTTAGTTGGGCCATTTGTTGTAATATACCTTTCACATTTCAAAAAACGAGAAAATTCTAACCTAGTCAGTAAAAATCACTAGCACATCACTTTTCAACTCCATATTTCGTAAAAAATCACATATTCACTTTTATTTCTTTTATTTTGTGTATTCTGTGTCAATACAAAGACATAGTTTTGCCTCTTACTTCAGTGTTAAAAATTATATTCGTTTTCATTTCTTTAAGTTAAAGATTTATGTAAATTAACTCCAACATTCGGTTACCAGAAACCAAAAGACTTAAATTTGACAGAAGTAACTGCGCCACAATTAATATTAAGTTGAAATTTATATCAACTGTCTTTTTTTTACCCCAGAAAACAAAACTTACCATTAAATTTTCAACTCTATCATTTTTTGACGGTAATTATTATGACCATCGGGACCTCGAGATTCTTCCCGTGACTATCGGTTTCTGGAGGATTTCTTCGGTTTGTGCTGCGCGTTGGATAAATACATCAACAATGTATGCAATTATTACTTTGTTGGACTACAGTAGTGTATAACTTGCAGTAGTTTTGCAGTACCCTCCAGCAGTGATGTTCTTGCCTTCTTGGAAGCTTCCAATAACATTTTGTCAGAATTGGAAAATTTTGAAATTATTGAAAGATGCCGATCTTCCCAATCAAAATCTTTTTGAAATTGGACCACCCCAAATGATCATCAAAGGTTATAACCTTACGATTTATGTCACAAATGCATAGGTTATAACCTTATATGGGCGGCCCATGGGCCATAATTTAATGTCACGTGACCAGATTTTTAATTCTGGCCCAACATGCGCAATTTTGGCATGTTAATTTTGGAACACATTACATACGT